AAAGGAAAAGTTGCTCAATACTTGCTATGCCTCAGTGTTCCTAAAAATCAAAAATAAATTGTGAGCAGACAACTAATAATAATACAGACACAGAAACAGAAGGGCTGCAAACTATGCAGGCACATGGGGGCAAGTGGCAGGCACCGCAGTGGGGTGAAGTGGTGGGGAGGACAGAAAGCAGAAGACAAAGGGTGGGGGTCAGACCACTCGACTCCCCCACTGCAGCAGCGTGGGGGATGAATTTAAGATGACCCTCCAATACTTAGATTCTATACATGGAAAATTACAACAGATTTATAACATTTCCATGTATTGACTCTAATTATTGGGACACTGTATTAAACTGAAAGATGTCTTAAATTCAGGTATATATGGTAGGTTTCTTGTAAACTTCTTCGGCTTTACAAAAAGCCCTTCCTGTTTTCATTCAAAGATTCTCCCTAGCCAGTACAGAAATGTATACAGCCTAAACTAACTGATCTTGACATGACAGGACTTGAGCAGCCTTGCACTTTAAAGTTTCAGGTATTTTTCTCTAAAGAGCTACCCTTTCTTTACAACAAACAACATTTAAAAATGTAGCCTTATTCCCTTTCCTAAAATGGACTGAGTTCCAGGTAAACAAGTAAGAATACCACACTCACAATTAACATTAAAATCTTACTGCAGTGAAGAAAAATATTTTTCTCTCAAAAACGCCTTCTTTAAGGTACTCCATTGGCCTCACTTCTATACAAATTGAAATCTCCAACAGCTGTAAACACAGCGAAAGTACTTGCCTCTGTAAACTGGAATCTGGTAAACAGCCGGCAAAACACTTCTTAAACCAAAGATTATAGGGAAGCTTGCTCATTGTGGAGCATGTCTTCAGATGCATCAGGAGTCTGCTGTCTTCAAGGTTCAAATACTGTTCGAGAACTTTTGGCTGTAGAAGGAAGAGAGAAAGCAGTTTTAAATATATGAAGCATAAGCCAGAGTTGAACCTACATACAGGAAGTAAATGCTAACAATCAGTGTTGTTAGATAATAAAATTGCAATGTTAATTTTACAAACTTTAAGCATGGTTGAACTTTGTGACTTACTTAAGGGAATATTTTGCTAAATAACTCCCTCCCAGCTTGCAGAAGCAACAACCTCTACAGGGATACCTAACTAATGTAGCATTCCCTTCCACAGGAATGAGTAAGAAAGCTTCAGGTGATGCAGAGGATTAAAACTGCCCTAATTGCTGCCATCATCATAGGTAAAAATAAGTTTAGTCAGTCTCAAACCTGGTTCCCTTTTTGTACATCACGAAAACAAAACGTAAACACAGGAAAAAGAGAAAAAAAATCAATTCTCAAAGTAAATCCCGTTGCAATTTATTAAAACCTATGTACCATTTTATTCCTAAAAAAAAAACCCTCTAGAGTGTTTTAAAATGGCCAACAGAACAGCACGGAAAAAAGATGACAATTTAAACAATTATCATGTATTTATATTCCAATTTATCCCAATACATACTTTCACAAATTCAAAATCTACACTATACATTACCACACACCTGAAAAAAATTGTTAATTTCTTCATTTACTAAAAGGAGTGGGAAGGGGAAGGATTGCTTTTGTCTGTATTCTTCAATCCAGGTATCTGGTGGAATGACAAACCATTACAGAAAACATGGAACAGAGGAATGCAACTTCTTTTACTAATGAGAACAATGCCAAAGCACCATTTCTTTGGGGGGCATAGACACCATTTTAAAGAGTTACAGCAAGTGATACAGTTGACTTCATTAACTCTGGTGACAGAGAAATATCTTTGTAAACCTGCTTTCTAAGTTTTATAAGATAACAGCAATATGTATCTGTATTTAGAATCTGCATCGATACTCACCAACTTCAAAACTGCAGATCAGACCCTCCACTATGTGTTAATATCAGTGGACATGGGTTAAGAACAGGTTTTTTATCCTGTCATGACATTTGAAAAATTAGGGGAAAAATACAGATATGCATTTTTTTTCTTATGAGTACTGGCAACTTAAAACCAAAGCCAATTTTATCAAGAGGCTTTTTTTAAAACAGAAATCTTTTCAGAACTTTATATGGTTACAAGAACTTACAAGTGTTCACTGACAACAAAATTCATGATCTACTTGTCTTTTTATTAGAGTAAGATTTAAAAGTTATTATTTTCCTAAAGAATAAAACACCCAACTCCTGTTATATGGCAACCTCAGAACATGTTATCTGATTATCAGCTGAAAAGGATATAGGCAGCAAAGAGACAGCCATTTAAGCAGGTCTACAAGTGATCTAAAAAGTATCGGAAAATTGTCAAAATGGTGTTAGGATTGTGACAGCTTTTTTAAATTGAAATAGAGGACTGGAAGGGGCCTCCTGAGGCACTGAATCCAATCGCCTGGCTCTTGCAGGCAATCATTAGACCAATAACGTGTCCAAAGCAGCATCCACATCCTCTCATACAACACAGCCATAAGACACCCTAACAAACAACCTACAATGTACCACAGTAAAAAAACAGCATCTACTGCTTAAAATCAAAAATGTTTTCAGGGTAACCACTGGTGTAAGGACTGGCAATTAAGCTTGGGTACAAACATTAAAGCATCACTGTTCATGATACACTGTGATCAATCATCTTGGTCTGTGCTTGAACCTATGCATTTCTCTGTTTCAAATTTAAATGTCTAAACACTAAAAAAAAAACATAAGCAAATCATCTGTTTCAGGGAACAAGAGCAGTTTCAAATGTCATATAATTTGGGTCTTAGAAGGAAATGTATACAGCACAACTAGAGAGCTCTAGTACCAAAGTAGCTAGTACAAGAACAAAATCCAGATCTATTAACTCACAGACCCTTGTGCTAGTGTCTGGATACTACTGCTACATCTCCATTCGCTCTGCGTAATCCCTCTTTTCGCAAAACAGTTTTCTTACCAATTGTTGCAATGAATCTTTGTACTTGTTATGTAACTGATTCACAAAACAGTTGACAAGCCAATAGCAGTCAATAGGATCCTCCACCATTTCCTCCATGGCTTTCGCAATAGCAAGAAACACTTCATCTTCTGCTTCCTAGAAAAGAAGAGCAGAAAAATTATTATCTACAAAATTGTTAGGCTGTCCAATTTGAATTACCGTTATAGTCTTTTACCCAGTTGCTTGGATAAATGAACCAGGAGACACATATGTAAATAGAACGTGGGTTATGGATGTGCTGACATCCATAATTACAGAACTTGGCAAAAACCGCATCGTTGTATTACCTGTAAAAACCAAATGCATGAAAGTGGATTGTTTGTACTTTCAGTCAAAAGCATTAATCAAAGTTTGGATTAGAAAACCTGAATTCTATTCTAAATAGTTATTGTGAAATAGAACTAGAGCTCTCTAATTTTGCTGTGTAAGAGAAGTGTAGTGTTCTTGGTAGTCTCAAGTGAGTCAGTATTAATGATCTGCAACCTCCCATGAAAAAGCAGAGGCCATTTTTTTTCCATTCACACACAACACTCCTTGACAGTTTATAAAACACCAGATGCTCATGTGTAAAAAACGATTTGGTTTTAAAAAAAGAGAGAAAAATGGCCTTTTATCTAATTGCCTGGGTGCAAGCAAACTTACCTTCCAGGAGTCAAGGCATTTTCTTCCTGAAGTACAACTTTTACATGAGATTCACATACCATTCCTTTCCCTAAACGGTACACTATCCTGCCACCGTCACTCCAGATACACCTATATGACAGTCACTGGTTTGACTGAAAGATAGCACACACAGACCTACTCATTTAAACTAGTTAGTTCAGGTGCCAGCAGCAATGTAGCTGTAATACAACTTCCAGCCCAGGACACAAAACCTTCCTGCAAACTAGGCTAAATACCTCAGCTGCTGGCTTAAAACAAGTGTTGTATTTCTACATTATACTGTGGACATAGCAAGGACTACAGAATAGACCTATTCTATACATCATACCCTCTGCTTTTAGAAGGCATAAAATCAGAGAAACTCACTAAAATGGCCCAGTTTGTTAGGAAAAAAGGTTAACCATCACAACATCATGTTTTTCCTCCCACTAACTCCACAGGGCCTCTTCAGCACAAGCATTAAACTTCCAGCTACACAAGTTCGAAAGAATTGACTGGATTGAAAAAAGGTACAACAGGGGAAGTGATATTCTATGAAGCATAACACCCTGGCAAACCTCAAGGGTAAATATCCCCAGGATTTAATTTTGACCTGGTTAGCATGAACTACACCAATATGCGTTTTCCACCGTGAACACCATCAGGAGAATGTGTGTTGCTCTGGTTCAGAGAGGCAATGACAGCACAACTCCTCTGGAAGCCATACTTGCACAGGATGAAGAAACAAGGTGTTGGTTACCACATTAACATCACTAAATTTACAGAGTTTTCCTACAGGGAATATGCTGGGTTCAATAGCCACACCCAAACTGTAGAAGTACAAATGTCTCTCCCCGCTTCTACAACATGCCACTCTACCAGTGGGGCAGAACAACAACTAAGCTTTCCATAATAACATTAACCTCCAACATATTTCTCTTAGGAAACAGTAAGGCTCTTGGGAACCGGAAGGTAAAAGAAACAGAAAACAGAATGGATGAACTGGGAAATGAACTAGTGTACATGGAAAATGATACTATTATTATTTAGGTTTACATCCCACGTATGCAAATTCCTACAACAAATACATGTAATATATTTGAAGACTGCCATCTCACAAATCAGAGTTGATTTTAATATCAATGTAATTGTCATCAGCAGAGTAATTGAGATCAGTTACGCAGACACCTGTCACTCTTTCCAACCCAAAATTCTGTTTAGAGACAGCAGGACTTCCAACATTAATGGTCAAGCACTCCCCTGCAGGCACATGGACATGAAACATGTACTCTTCTCTTTTCAATTAAATAGCATGCTGTCATGTCACCAAACTGTAGATATGTCTAGATTACCATCACTGCTATGACCGCAATACAGTTAATGCACCAGACTTGTGCACTTGAATAAAATCTAACACACAGCTCAAATTTACAAAACTGCCAGATTGGTAACCTTCATTCTGGATTAAAAAACAAATTATTTTAGGACACGGCTTTTATTACCTCTGACCTATGACAGAGGACATTTGATCTTACTGCAGCAAATAGGTTCTTATGTCATTATTGTTACTAATGTTCTGTAGATAGAAAGTAAATGCCAGGAGGGGGGAGAAGGAAGAGCAAATATAAAAGGCTATTAGCCCAGAGGGAAAAAAAAAGGATACAGAAAAGATTTTAAGGCATAAAAACTTATACAAGTATTTGCCGAAGATGAACTAATGCACAGTTTTATTAACCCTTCGTACGTAACATCCATATTCTCCTGTTCTATATTCATTTTAATTTATTTATCAGGGCGCATCTTCCATGCTACGATTTGTTTTCAGGGCTTCAGTTCAAGGGTTCCTTTTACTGTAAAAGAACATTGTAGCAGCCAAAGGAAGCAACTGACCAGAGGAAATGCTGGATTTCGAGGCAACTTTCCTGCTTCTAGTTGATGCATGCGAAGGAAAACTTCCACCTGTGGGGTAGAATCACTGATGAAGCGAATTACTTGGAGGGCATGATACACGTCCATATATTGCTCCTTCCGGTACATCATCACCAGGACGTGAGATTCATGATGAGGAGGAATAATCCCTAAAAGAGATAAAAAGACGACGAAATCAGAACAGATAATCCCCTTCTCAAAAGACTAAACTTAGTTCCATTCATACTAATGTTTAGCCTACAAAGAATTTAGATCCTGGCTCTGTAGTTGGTTGGTTTAGGGGGACAAAATACAAAACTATAAAGTGGAAATACACAGGACAAGCAAAGAGGAATATACTGATCAAAAGAAGATAATACATTGACTGACTGCAGGAGCATGATCTTTGCTTTTAAGTCCCCTTACAGGAGGGTGGAACATATTTTGCCTGTCAGGTTACTGGTGGTCAAAGAATAAATAAGAGGTCCCCATGTTTGGAAGACAGGGAAATTATTTTTTATTTTGATTTACCTTATTGTTACCTCATTTAACTAACCTTTTTAATTGCCACTAGTTTATATTTCTGTACCTTTGTTAATGCCGCATTATTTGCATGTGTATTTGTACTTAACTTTCCCTTTATATTGATCAAAAAAGTGAATATATTAAAAAATCTGTCTCCGATTACTTTGTAAATATTGTATTCTGTACTGAAAAAGGCATTTATGGCTCTACAGAAAAACAAGAGTGAGGTCTCATTTTAGACTAGAGCATTTCCTATACAAATATTTCACCAAAAGCACGATCAGGCTACAAACAAAAACTTTGCCCTGCTATACATTTGAGAGAAGAGGTACAAAACCAGAACTAATTCCTTTTCCAATTCCACAGTTCCTCTTAGATTACCAGGGCTATATGTGCACATGCAAGTAATGCAAATGTGATGCACTTACCTTTCTTATTCTTCAATTTACTCTCAAGTCCATACTGAAGCCTTTTCTACAGACTTACCCCTCTTTTCTACACACTTACCCCTGACATTAACCCTCTTCTGAATCAATGGTTCAAGAAAATTTCAACAGCAGAGGTTGATTCAATATGGTTACAACCAAACCAGTTTGTAAGGCTACAGTTAATCGCACCACAATACTACACTGAATCAATTGTGTTCCCCCATCCCCGCCAAATAATAGCTATTTATGACATCCGCAACTGATGCTTGATATAGAACTCCCCTAGTGCAGGGGTGCTCAACCTCTGGCCCACAGCAGTGTCATCCAGCCCATGGGGCTTCCCACGGGTCCAGAAATTTAGTGGTAGGAGAACACCGTTGCCCTGCTGGCAAATCTCCAGAGCCATGGGGAGCCCCAGGCTCTGTGCACTGGGCCTGGCACCTGTTCCCAGCATGTAAGGGTCCCAAGCCACAATCTCAGTGTGAGGGGGGCAGGAGAAAGCAGTGCCAGCTCCCCAGCACCCAATCCTGGCATGATGGGGGCAGAAGGGGACAGTGCCAGCCCCCTCGGACTAATCCCAGCAAGTTGGGGGGCAGAAAGGGGTAGTGCCAGCCACCCAGGACCCAATCCCAGCACATGGGGGGGGGCAGGGGCAAGAGGGGGCAGTGCCACACCCCTGGACCCAAATTTGGTGTACAGGGGCTAGGAGGGGATGGTGCCGAGACCAAGCCCTGATCTGGCCTGAAGACATCCCCATCTTGCCCCAAGATGGGCCCTACTCATCTGGTCCAGAGGCAAAAGATTGAGCACCACTGCCCTAGTGGTCTGTCCATTCAGGCCTTTCTTTCCCCTTAATGACTGCACCTTACTTAACACCATTTAATAAGTGTACAGCAAACCTGTCTCTGACTTCAAGAGAAGGAAGATTCTCAAGATGCCAAAAGTGACATAGCACTTTTGTATCACTAGGAGAGCAGATATAGTCCTTTTATAGTCAAATCAGAAAGAGACATTCTTTAATATCAGCTTTAAGTTAGGTTACCTGCTGCTTTCATCACTCCTTTAAAGGAGTACAATGTTCCCAAGTTTTAACCCAGGAAATTGCTGGGGCTGAGTTTCAAAAGCAAGAGAAAGAGATTTACCTTCAAACAGCTAGAATAAACCTAACTGTATTCTAAGAGCTGGACCTTGACTTCCAATTTGAATCAAAAATAGTGTTAACATCATAATTAAGCAAGTATGTGCTGCTAAGACCAGTATGTTAAATCCAGAAAATTAGGACACTGACCCTAGCCAGGACAGAGTCAAATAATGCAAGGAAGTCTATAAATCATTTTATCACAACCTACACTCCACTTAGCTACGATGAGTCATACTTGACTCAAGAAGGGCATATTCAGCATACCATATACCCAGGGAAGGCATCAGGCTTGTTACGTTTCAAATCTAATTTTAGATTGAATTCACTGAAAGCCGTATTAAAATTATTTACAGGGGACATAATATTTCTCTTCAGCAATAGATAGAGCTGTTGTTCAAATCACCAAACCAGAGGTGTCTTCTAAACACCCATTTTTCTCATGAATGTTGACAATAAGATAAAAGAAAAATCCTCAAGGATATATTACAGGCAATTTTCTTTGTATGCAACTATGTCTTACACCTCAGCATACTCAAAGTAAACACTGAATGACAGACTGGTGCCTTCCCCTATTTTGGGTTGTGAACTTATTTTGAATGAACATGTTTTAAGTTTCCAGACTGAGATCCTAAAATGTAATTGGTAAACATGTTTCTCACATTCTCTATGCATTCAGAATCAGACTTGGTTATGACACAGCATACAAAGGAACATAGAAAGAGCCAACCTAATAAACATTTTCAAAGTTCACAAATCACCGTGTGTTAAGGCAGTCAATAAATGCTGTTGATTCAAAACTGAATTACAACTTTGTACAGAAACTTCTCCACAAAGTTCTCTTTTTGAGTCAAAGATCTACCAAACTGGTTGTTAACATTATATTATTAAAGGATTAATCTCCACTACATTAAGAAACTGGGTTTAAGTATTCTTTATTTTCCAAAGCTTAGCCCTGCTGTTATTTGGGCTTTCATTATGTATAATCAATTTACTAAAGAGAAAATTTAGGAAGTTCAGAAACAAGAGTTAGGATCTTGCACCAAAAATGTGTTTACAAAACCTAAGTTAAATGTTTACACACATTCATGAATGTTTTAAATCATTTATATTTTTTTTAAATCTATTAAAAATAAAAGTGGTTTGACTTTTACATGGACTTTAAACATTCTTGTTACATTATTTGCAACCCACAACTAAGTGTCAATGCATATAAATCAGGATGTGAAACTGAATAGATGGAGCAATGATATTTACAACTCTACCTTTGCTGTTCAAGAAATGAAAGAGCATACTATCATCTCCTTCAAATCATACATTTTTTTAAAAAACTATAATCTCTAATTATGTAGAGCATTATTAGAGACTTAGGTAAGGATTATTTTATGTTTGAACTGGCAGTACTCCTTTAAAAGGCCATGAATATTTTAAAAGCATTCCAGGGATACCATTCATGTACTACAAATTATCATGATTCTTGGGTCCTGCATCCCCCATTACATTAGCTCATGCTTTTATAAATCTGGTAAACTCAAGAAGTGGTTCCAAAAGGCCATTATTACTTTTTCAATTAGTCATTTGACTCTCTAACTACAAGGAAAGTAGAATTCAGTGGATTTACAGTTTCTGGACATACCTTATTTTATTCTTGCCTTCAATGACAAATGCCACCCATCACAAGAAGCTAAATCAGAGCCAAATCTCATCATGAAACTTTAAAAGAGAGTCTCTCACTCTGGCCAGATTCTATTAAATAGCCAGTTCAACACTAACCATCATCTTCTTAAATTAGTTTTGATTATAAAGCTTCACTTTTTTACAGCTTTTTTACACTTTTGATTATACAACTACAGCATCCTTTTTAAAAAGAATAAAACTGAAAACTTTCCCAGATGGCAGCTATTTCTGTTGCACTTCAAATATACACACACTAATAATATCGTGTCCATTACAATAACAGAGGAATTCATTTTATTTTTGCAAATCTGTATGTATGAAATTTTCCAAAATGCATGCATAAAATACTTCAGTCAAGTAATCAACAACTCATCCAAGCACATTAAGTGTTGGATATGTGGAACTTAACTGTATGCAAAAGTAGACCAACAATTGGTAGCAGTGGTTATTAAAGACAGTATACCAATATACTGCTATGACCCTAACATTCAACAAATACACCACAGGCATATTCCAACTAGTATACATATGACTGTAGTCTTTAATATGCCATACCTAAAAGTACCTTCCACACCAGGATACGATACATGGACGGAAGAGGAAATCTTTGACTAAATGTGCAGAGCTTCTCAATATCTGTAAAGAAAAAAAAGCTAACATATTTCAAAACTCTTTCTGAATTTTAAAATTTACACCAAAGGCAATCAGGACTCATAGTAATTTACATCAAGAACTCTAGGGCATTGATTCACACGAAAAGGACAATTATTTAGGTGCTGATAGCTGTCCGCAAATCGCACTTACAAAGGACAACACAATATTGATACAAATTACTGAGTTGCAGTTAAGAACAGTTGGAAGTGCTACAAAAATTGCTATTACAGTTCCTTGAAAACTTCTTAGTTTGATTTATAATGAAACTATAAATCTACTAGATCTCAACAAGAAAAGATTGTGACATTTTAGGCCTAAAGTAAAAAAAATCTCTCTTTGCCTTAAAACTAATTACAAAGAAGCTTTTTGGTATAAAAAGCACAGTAATCTTTCTGTTCTGTTACAGGCTTAGCATACATATAGGATGAACAGAAATAACCATCATCGTATCACAATGCATTGTGATTTTGAGAAGAGAACAAATTAGTAGAAGGAAACAATCAATTCTTAAGAAAAAATGACCTTCATAAAAAAACCACTTTCGGCTTCTTGGGCACAAAGAATGAGAAAAGAAAAAAGAAATAAACAAGAGGTTCTAAAGTAAAATAGCAACTGTTTTTTAAAGTCTCTCAGATGCACCTTTAGTAACCAACCAGTACTATCCAAGTTAAAATATCGTCCAGTGCAATAGCTGCAAAACGTTTTGTTTTTTTTTAAGTCAAACTCTCAAACTGTCTCATAGACCCAACATGTATTACTGTCACCAGCTTTCAATTGAAAATGTTATCAGGGTACACAGGGCCTGATACAATCCAGGACCAGCTACAGACGACTTACTATGACGTCACAGCCAAGCAGTGGTCCATAAACGATGTACTGTTTTTTTCTGGCACACCCTTGAATAAAATACATTGTTTTTGAAAGGCAAAATTAATAAAAACAGATCCTTCCTTGATAGCCGCTAGGGGAAGACAGAGAAAGTATCCTGCAGCACATGCACTTTTGGGCTGAAAATAGAAGTTGCAACAAATTTATGGCAGCCCAAAGAGCAAGCAAACAGACCTCCATGCTCCATTATGGACATCTGTTTGGCTTTATGGTAGGAGCCATCCCAGGCAGGAGCTCCCGGGGCTTCAGTGGCCCAATCCTGCACACCCCAAGAATTCCTTTGCAGGGGTATTCCCAGGACATACAGTATCTTGCCCAGGTTGCCTGCTTGCGGAGGCACATCCTGGGAATCCCCCATCGAGAGATTTCCCGGGCCCAGGTATTGCACTACCATGCCCCAGAGTACCCCCATTTGAAATTGTCCTGCAGGATTAGGCCCTTGAAACTCTGAAAGCGGCAAGATCCAGACCCTTCAGAATGACAGGCAACGTCTTTGTTACCCAACAAAATGGACCAGTTGTGATGCCGCAACAGCTGATACCGCAACAAAAAATAACGTCCGTTTTTAGCCAGACTTTCACGTTCATCTGGCAGACTCTTAAGCCACAAAAACGGCCATAAAAGTATTTCCTCGATTATAATGCACACCCCAATTCCCAGCAGCTGAATTTTAGGAAAAGGTGTGTATCGTACATCGTAGTTTGAGAACCACTATCTCGGTAATATCGAGATACAACTCTAGATTCTGCAAGCTCCATGGTAAATGATATGGAGATTGATGAAAAATTGCCTGGAAAAATCAGAGATGTTGAACACAACATCTACCATTAACTTCAGTGAAGGTACTCATTTTTTACAAAATTTATACCCAGAAAGTACAAGAGTCAGATCACTTTACCCAATCGGTCATCTTTCAGCAAGATTTCTAATGATTTTTTCTCTTCAACTCCACGGAACCCCACTTTTTCATAATAGACCGAACGGAAATTTCTCTGAGAGTCTTCAGCCATGATTCATTCTGGAGGAGAAAAAAATGGAAAATGTTTAACAGTTTACATCTAACAATGTGTTCTTATTGCTTTAGAGTGCACTTCCTTTGAAAAAATCAATGGAAATTAAATACCTTTGTCTGTAATGAAAATAAATGCCTTTGCCACAAAAAAACCCTACTTGAATTTATAAGACATCCAGGATGTTATTCAGCATATTTGGGTACATGCCACTGCAGAAACAAAGTATTTGGACTAGGTCAGGACTGCTCAACCTGCAGCCCACAGGATCTGGAAATTTGGCAATGGGGGAGCAGTGACACTGTTCACCTGCTGGCAAATTTTTGAAGCCATGGGGACCCCTGGGCTCCACATGCTGGACAGGGCATTGGAGCCCAGCGTGGCAGATGAGAGGAGGGTGGTACCAAACCCCAGGGCCCCAATCCCAGCATGCAAAGGGCAGGAAAGGGTGGTGCCAGGCCCCCCAACCCAATCCCAGAACACAAGGGATCGTAAGGGGCTGATGGCAATCTCCCAGGACCCAATCTTAGTGTATGGGGAAGGAAGTAGGAAGGTGCAGTGCTGTGGCCTGGCCCCACATCACTTATATGGCCCATGAGGCCAAAATGCTGAGTACCCCTGGACTAGGTAGTGTCCAACACAGTCAGATGTAAGGGAGAATAAGCTGGATATTTTTATTTTGTGACAACTTACATTGCTTTAGAAAACAAAACCAATTTAAGAAAAAGAATTATAGTGCACAGTTTGAGAGAAATATGGCTACTAGGAAACCTGGACAAGCTAAACTGCCACCCAGATAAACAAAACTGTCAAGCTTGCCATCCCGCTATACAATAAGAGCTGAAAAGACCAGAGTGAGGCCAAGCCAATCACAGTTGCACTAAGCTCTGAAAGAGCAACAGGTGGATGAATGGAGGTTGTTCAAGTCTAGTGCATATTTTAGTAAGATACTCATGTTGTTCTGATGTACTGCATCAACCAAAACCTTGCCCCTGTTATTCCAGACTGAAAAAATAGGTTAAACCTGCCTTTAGATGAATGAATAAATAAACAAACAGCCTATATAGCACACAGCGGACACACTGACAATTTGTACCACAACTAAACTCAATTTTTTACTCAGCTAATTAGTTTGCAAAATACTAAACCTGGAGCAGGAAAGACAATCCTCATCATTAGCCCACAAACATAAAAAAATGTTAAGAGATGGCATGTTGCTGAATAGGATGTGAACGAATGGCACACATACTAAGCCAGTCCAATTACATCAAGCTGCTCCATGTGGTACTTAAGCAGGATGAGAAACAAAGCATTCACAAATATACAGAAGGGCCCCTACCTTGCAAAGGTTAAAAACATGTTAATCTTCTCCATGCTAGGAGGGCATAGAGAAGCATACTCCATCTAACACAGTCAGCAGCAGCTATCAGAGTAGAATTCCAGCTGCCGCTACGCTCTTTCATTTCTTTGACACATTTAACTTTACTTGAAACACAAACAATTCCACTGCTGGCTTAAGGTGCATGTGCAGGTCTTTGCAGAATCAGAGCCAGCTGAGTACCCAAAAGCAGGACTAAGATCAATAAAGGACTTGTTCAGAGCTTACTGTGTTTGACCAAAGCATAGATTTAAAATCAGATAGAAACTGTTTGTACTATTGATGAGATATCCCTCTTAATGCCCAATACCAAACTGTTCACACAAATATTTGGGACTCTTCACAGCTCAGACATTTCAGGATCAGGCCTTCAGTATATTTATTATTAACTTGTGCCCCAGAGTCCAATCAGGAATGAAGGATGCTGTAAAACAAAGGAGGTCCCAAACTGTTTGGATTTACCATTATTTAGCTAACAAACAAGTGCCAAATCATCACAGCTGGCAGTGACACTTTAACTAGAGCAGCATTCAAAGACAAAACTAAACCTAGAGTGACAGAATGCTACAAAATGGGAAACCTGGATTTAAAAAAAGGCATGACAATTCGTAAAAGAAGAGTGCTATTCAAATCTAGCTATTCAAGCTAGACATCCGGAGGCACTACTTCACAGTCAGGGCAGCTAGGATCTGGAACCAACTTCCAAGAGAAGTAGTGCTGGCTCCTACCCTGGGGGTCTTCAAAAGAGGACAGACAATCACCTAGCCAGGGTCATTTGACCCCAGCATCCTTTCCTGCCACGGCAGGGGATCGGACTTGATGATCTGCTGAGGTCCTTTCCAACCCTACCAACTATGAAACTATAAATTATCACAATAGCACGGCTTCGTTTTACTTAAGAATCATGACACCCTCCTCCCCCAAAATAATCAAACATGGAGGCTAGATGTACATCTTGCTGGGGTCGTTTGACCCCAGTACTCTTTCCTGCCATGGCAGGGGGTCAGACTCGATGATCTGCTCAGGTCCCTTCCGACCCTAGAAACTATGAAACTACGGGACTACTTCATTTTCTTATCAAGCAACCAGCAAATGTTATATGCTGTCATTGATTAGTGAAAGGTTACTTTATCCAGTAGATAGGTTCCTGCATTAAATCCTATCTTAACTCAAGCTGTCTTTATGGAAGATAAAAGCATTTTTGTTCTTAAAAGGAAGGGTTTTTTTTAACCATATCATTAAATCTCCTGAAAAGCAATTCAGGAATAGCAGTAAATTTGTATTATTAAATAATCCAATTGTCCAACTCATAGAAAACATTTTCCAGTTGCTGATTTCATGAATTGCATTTGTGATCCTTATCCTATGCATAGCTTAAGCACAATTCATTACATTGTTTTAGCATAGCGTAAGCTTTGCACAGGGTAAGGATCACAAATTCAGCTCATGAAATCACTCGGCAAACGTTTCCATTTCAACTGGAAAATGTTTTCGACAAGTTGGACAATTGAATTGCACGCTGTTTCACGAAAGATGGCGGTTATGTTGATGTCTACACTTTTGAGCTGTGTTGCGTTAAAACTAAATGCATTAGGCTTTCACTTGTACACACGAGAGAAGCAAACTGTAAACGACATCTCAAGTTATTAAAAAGTCACACAAGGGCTCCGTAAAAACCCTGTACTTGTAGCAGGACTTGGACAGGGACAAGAGGGAGGATTCTGCCTTGAACAGGAAGTTCAAATTTTGGCCCCCACTGATAGCATTGGACTGGCATAAAATGAACCCCAGGCCCCCCCATAGGAAGTGCTACTCCCATCCCCTTCCTCTGCCCAAGCTGCTTCTCAGGTATCTGGTCTAGAGGCAAAAGGAACCAGAACTCGTGGCAGAAGTGATCTCTTTTAGAAGACCAACCAGGCATTTGCAAAAAATATATATATTTTTTTTTTTTAATTATTTTGCAAATACCTAATTGGTCTCAACAGATATCACCTCTACCATGAGTTCCGATGCCTTCAATCTGCTGCTTTGCTTGCTGCTTCTTGCCCTCTCTACCGCCCGTCCCGTCCCGTCCCGTCCCGTCCCGTCCCGTCCATCCGATCACCCCTCTCCCGGCAAGAAAGGCTTACCCCGGGCAGGCGGCGCAGAGGGCCTGCGTCGCGGCCCGTGACGTCACGACGGTACTCCCTCCGCATTGGAGGAAGGAGATGTCAGGCCCCGGCAAGAGGCGGAGGGCGGCACTAGCGGACCGGAACTTAGGGGTACTTCCGGGTTCCGTCGGCACCGGAAGCGCCAGGTTCCTGGCGGGCAGAGAAGAGTAGCTGCAGCAGGGCGGGGCGGAATTGGTGCTGCGGGGGGAGTTGGCGCAGTATTGGTTCCGGTGTGAGGGATCAGAGCCGGTGGCAGAGGCACTCACTTTTATTAGGCTGGCTAGATGTTTGCACAAAAAAAAAAAAAAAAATATTGGGGGAAAAAACATGCCTTTCTTTGCATTTTTGGTACTGGCACCTTTCCTTGGGGCTGGGGGAGTGCAAAGGTTGTCAAGGTTCTTCCAGGGGAAAGTAAATTCATATTGCACAGGAGAGCTGGCAGCTGCAGTAACATCTGTTTGGAAAAGCAATCAAAGCTACTAGACCCAACTAGATGTTTGCCACAAAAATTTGCTTTACCTCGATACCTCACTTTGCAACAGTTCATTTGATGCAGATCAGAAAAGTTGGAACAGTCTCCTTTTCTTTTTTTTTTTCTTTTTTTTACCTCAAAGTTGTCTGGTGGTGGGTGCGAAGTGGAAGCCTATTTCCCTCTGGTCCTCATATTTCACAGAAGAGCAGAAAGATGGCGTGTTCTACTGGGCAGGAGTTGCTGTTGTGAAGAGGCCTCTCCCTGCTCTGGGAAAACGCAAATTACCTTGAACAAAGGCAGGAGCAGGGTGTCAGGTTTCAAGTGGTTAATTTTGCTTCCTTGTAGAACTATGGAAGCTTTCATTTCAGAAAGCAGCTAAAATCGGATATCTTCCATGTTTGTCTATTTGTTGTTTTTCTTTTCCTCACACCCTGCCAGAAGGTTTCCCCAGACAGAGAAGATGCACAGGCCACAGGAGCAAGACCTGGTATAGGGAGGACTGGGGCCCAATTGGGGCCAGGCAATGATGCCGCAGGTGGCCTCCAGTGGTTTTTTTGTTTGTTTTCTGCTATACGTTCCTCTCCCGTACTTGTCAGAGAGGCGTGAGGACTCGCATTGCAGTCTTAAGGGTGGCCCCAACCCACAGACCCATTAAAAGGGGCCAAAGGACTCCAAAGTGTTATCCCTGGCAGGAGACAGGCAGAAACTGTTGGGGGGGGGG